CTGAAATAGCAGCTTTGGGGCAGATGATTTTCAGTTTCAGTGAATTTATAGTTTAATTGGTAACTTGCTGTTTTAACTCGGGTGCACATGTGGCAAAGGCAACTGGAAGCTACCGCACTCTTTTTTTCTCAGCGTTGGCATGCTCAGGGACAGCTTTCATGTGCAGAGTTTTATGACATGATACTGCGGAAGCATCAGTAGTGCTTCCAGGTACACAGGAATTCATTTTCAAGCAGAGATGATGTGATCTACAAGAAAATCCACGTTTCAATCTAACGGAAAATCCTCAAACTAACCTTGAGGCATTGTGACACCTGATCTCCCATAATCCGGTGGGAAGACTCGGAGCTGTTCTTCTGATCCGTGTTGCAGCCAGGCTGTATTTCATGTCACTTCTGTGAATTTTAGAGAGTCCAAGAATTTAAATTCTTTTTGGAGTGTGCCACTTTGTCAGGGAGAGGAGCTCCTACGGGATAGAAAGTCTGCAAATAAGAAAATCGCCAAAGGGCCAAGACAAAGGTATATATTTATGCTTAACCATGGTTCCCTCTGAAAGCTCTGTGGTAAAAATAGCAAAATCCGAGCAAGGCTGCGAGTCTGAGCCGTGCCTTGCTTTCATCTCTGCGGTGCTAAGAGCAGGGTGTGAATCACTTGTGTTGTCTACAAACATAGCAAAATGTATTTTTCCTGGAGTCAAAGCAACAGCCCCACGAAAGCATTAGCCAGTAACTCCGACATTGTCACTGCATTGCCCCGTCCTTGTCTTCAGTCGTGGGGCGGGGGGAAATGCGCAGAGACTTGTCTAGAAATGACTTTTATCTTCCCTTACTTTTGCCACTGAAACCTCTTGGGGTTTTGCCTGTATAGGTAGACAGGGATATATCCTAGGAGTTCACAGACTAATCCTGCCTGCAATCTTGGGGTTTTGTCTGAAGGAGAGATTTCTGTGTCTTTTGTTAAATGTGGCTGTGGGGTCTGTTTCCTCTCCTGCCGACTTCCATGAAGGCAGGGTTGGGCCTTGCACGTTTTGTGGTACAAGTGGTGAAAATGCTTTCAGTGCTTGTTCTAAGGAGAGTTTGTTACCATCTTAATTTCTGCATGGAGCTGGTGTGTTGGCGACTTTGCCAGTGACCCTTGGTGGCTAGCGAAAGCTCTCTGTCCAAATACTTACCGAGACACTCAACTAGACACAGTGTTGTTGTCTGGGTGGTCTGGTTCTGGTGCTTGTTAAAATGGATGGGATTTGCTGGTGAACCCCAGGGCAATAAATCAGTACAGTGTTTTCTCCGTTGTAGACCGAAAGAGAGCGTTGGTGTCACAACTGCTTACTCAGCACGCTGGAGCCAAACCAGTGTGTAGTGTAGAGACTGACCAGAGAAAACAAGTGTTGTGGTAGCAGCTTGCAGCTCCCGATGCCAGTGGGCAATGGAGGAATGTTACTGATGTATCTCAAAACTAACACCATGAAATTAGTACTTAGCGTCATAAAAATCTTGGTACAGCAGAGTAGAAAATGCAGTTTCTGAAGGAGGTGGTCTCTTGCCTTTCTGTTCTGTACAATATTGCCTGGAACATAGTAAATCAGTTGCTTGAGCTTTGTCTGGACTCCAGGAGCATAGATTTGCAGCAAGATCTGTGGTACCTTGTCCTGGATACACTTTTCAGCAATCCTAATGCTTACTAAACCACATGAATTCACTTTATATGCCATTATGGCCTGCCCATCAGATGGGCACCGTGTCCATTAAAATCCTCGATGGGGAGAAGTGTCCAGTGCTGCTGAAGCCAGCCCATGAGCACAGCACAGCTGATGGGATGCCCGAGTCAAGTGCTGCCGAGTCCTGGCTCCGGCGCTGCCTGGGTCCTGCCGTGAGCCAGGCTGCCCTCCCACTGCTTGCTTGCATGGCTTAGATACGGGAAAACCAGTGGCTTTAAAAAAATGAGCCGGATTTTTTTGAACAGATACCAACACCCCCAGGAGAGCTTTTTGGCATGTAGCTGCTATCATCCTTATTTGTTTGATTATTTTTTCTAAGCCCAGAAAAGGGGAAACTCTGCTGTTATAAATGATTGGAATTTCCTCAGTACGTTGTTCAAACTGTGACTGTTGTGCAGAGTTGTAATTTTCTATTTCTGTATGTCAGACAGCAATTGTGGCTTGTGCTAAGTTAGTATTATCATGCATACGGCTACTCCTTCCTTGGGCTGAAGGCGAGGGATGACAGGCTGCGGTGCGGGGGGGCAGGAGGGCAGCTGGGGCAGTTCAGGGCCCCTCCCAAGCTCGTGGCCGAGGGCTGCGTTTGGTCGTGATGTTCCCCCTCCCCACCAGGCCTGCCCACACCCCTTCTTTATGTGCAGAAACATGGAAAGATGCAAACGCAATATTGAACTTCCTTCTAAGCTGTGGTTTTGATGCTTTCTTCACATTGTCTTCACTCTAAGATCTCTTCTCCTTATTCCCCCTTTCTTTAATTTTTTTTTCTTTTTTTTTGAGGGGCTGGTGGGAGAGGAGTTTGTTGTCCTACTTTGTCTCTTTCAGCTTTTATTATCACCTCGTGTCTCAATTCTTCCTCACAGGGGCTGTTGTCATTCCTGCCTCGCAGCTGAAACACGAGAACTCTGCTGCTCCTGGGCTTGTCCTGTGGTTTCTTGCTGTGTTTTGGGGAAATGCCTCTCTTGCAGAGTTTTCTTGTTCCCCCAAGACTACACTCCTACCTCCTTATCCTTTTTGTCTTTTTTTTTTGCTTTTTATTCTTTTCTTTCCCTGACTGCTACATCCTTCGGTTCATCTTTGCTAACTCATCTGTTTGTTTCTTTCTCTCTTTTCATTTACAACTGAATTTGTTTCCTGGATCCGAGTTGTTGGGTCTCAAGTACCCAGCACGCACGGCCCGGGAGGGAGCAGAGGAGAGAGGCGGGCTGCTGCTCCAGCCGGGGAGCCGGCGCTGCGTGTGTGTGGCAGACAGCGGCATGCATCCTGCACTAGCTTGGGGTTTCTAGCCAGGACATGTTTAAATTACGTGACTCTTGTTTTATGAATTGGGCAGTGTGCCCATAGCTCCGCAGAGTCAGCTGAAGTGTGACAGAAGACCCATCTCTTCTTTGGATCATCTCACGGCAGTGGTGGAAGTGGGCCACCTGGTATCTTCTCCTCCAGCATACGAGAGACAGATGAAGAGAGGAAGTCTGCGTTCAGAGCGCCAGTTCTCTGCTTGTTAATGCTCCAAAGCTCTTATTTATTTATCAGTGTGGACAAACCACTGTTGTGATGACCTTTCCCCACTTGTGTTTGAGCTGATGCTGTCAGCAGCTGGACTCTTCCTCCCTGCAGCCTTCTGAGAGCTGCCCTACCTCGTGCTCGGGGCTTGGCAGGGAAGCTGTAGCAGATACAATTTTGCTACTGTCATTAGAATTTTGTCCTCTCTTGCTTTTTTCATTTTTGTGTAGAATTTTGATGAACGCAATAATCTTGTAAGATGCAAAAAAACCCCAGATCCCTAGCAGTTTGAAGTCTTTTTTTTTTTTTTTGTCTCCTTTATTTCTAGGTGCTTTTGTTGTCTGCTGGACTCCTGGCCTGGTCGTTTTACTGCTCGATGGTCTGAACTGCACCTACTGTGGGATTCAGAACGTTAAAAGGTGGTTTCTTCTCCTAGCCCTGTTGAACTCTGTCATGAATCCAATAATTTATTCATACAAAGATGATGAGATGTGGGGTACCATGAAAAGGATGATTTGCTGCTCCTCTGAGGATAAGAGTCAGGACAGACGCTCGTCGCGGATCCCCTCGACAGTTCTCTGCAGGAGCACGGATACCTCGGGGCACTACATTGAAGATGGCATTATTCAAGGGACAATTTGTGGAAAAGGAGATCTTGGTGACAAAGGAAACTCCTGAGCTATTCAAGGGACTGACTTGGCTGGAAAAGGAGAGGGGGAAGGGAGAGGTTTTGTAAGAGAAGATTGACTGGCAAAGCTAGTAAACAATATATCCACTTTGTTCCAGAGCCTAAACTCCAGTGTTAACAAAAGTTCTTATAAATAATTGCCTGATGGAAAAACACTTTGTAATGAAGAAAACTTTCTGTGCTGCCGTCTTTCTCCTTTTTTTCTTTTAAGTGCATGAAATTGTTTTTTCGTACAAATGGAATAAATACATCTCAGAGACTTCTTGTGCATGGAAACAAAATGTAAGCAACGTAGTGAGACCCTCCTTAAGCTTTTACAGAGAGAATAAACCTGCCTCACTGTGCAGGCTTGGCATTCATTGAGTATTTATGCTTTGAACAGTTTCCGTGCATCTTGAGGAGGATTGTAGGCTTGGTTGGACAGAATTGTGACCTGTTTTCTCGGTTTACGAAGTTCATGAAGTAGTTCATACTTACCTTATCTCTTCCTCCTCCTTATCTTGCTTTCAAAATAGGTAGTTTGATGGTTTATTAAAGCTATGCCAGAAACCTGGCTGTGATGGGAAGTCCAGACCAGACACCAGTGTGCGTGAATATGTCTGACTGTGGATTGTCAGGATCTGAGAGTACAAAAAGCACAAAAGCCATTATTACTTCCATAGTGGGGTGAATGCTGCAAGGAAATACATTGCACTCTCTGCTGCTGTTGTGTAGGCAGACGGTGAGAGTGGATTAATGAAGAGCAGTGTGGCTGTGTTCATTATGCTCATTTCTTACTTCCCCAGATAACATCAAATGGGTGTGCTCACCCCTCTTTAACTGCTATGCCACCGAGAGAAGTGAAATCCAAAACTGTTTTAAGAGGGCAAACTTTTAAGGGAAGTTTAAATGTACGTATATACAGGTTCAATCGAGCTATTTAAAATAGAAATTAATTTACGGGGAAAAAAGCCTGAAACCAGCCTAAGCTCCTACAACAGTGCAGTATGCATTGATTGTCTGACCTTGTCTTGGGCCACATTTAACCTCTGAATTGCAAGCAGATCTTACTGGAAGGTACTGGAGGAAGAGGCCATGAAACAGCAAGCAGTGAAGGGCTTTCAGCATTGTGACTAATGAAGTCTAGTGTCAGTGCAGCCACAGCCCAAAAAGCTGAAGTTTTGACTTATGGAGTATGCTCTAATGGAGGATCCAGCAATTTAAAGCTCTAGGGTAAAGTTTTTAAATTTAAAATTTTAAATTAAAAATTGGAATGCAGATTTCTCAGTACTGTAAAAACCTGGCTCCTGCTGTCTGGTTTCAACAACAGTGAGCTGCCTGCTACCCGTCTTAATTTCAAGAGGAGTTACCTGTGTTGTGTCCTAGAGGAAGTCTGATCCCTGGTATTAAAGCAGGTGACCACGACCAGAGGTCACTTCGGAAAGTTTTGGAACTTTTGACCACTTGGAATCGTTGGAGAACAACACCAAGAGCATATTGTATGAGGCTGAAAGATAAAGATCAGCTGTGGTTTGGGCAAATTCTTCCTTTGGTGCAAATTGCATGTGGCTATCTGGACTGTGTTGGTCAAACCAGAACCAGCACTTGGCTCAAAGGCCAAGTTGCAGTTTTGTAGAAGGCCCTGGAGGGTTTCATAGCAGGCCTTAGCTTACGAACACTGGAAGCCCCTGTTCAGAGAGCTCTCCTGTAACACAAGTTACCTTGTAGAGATATGGCCTAACGTTTCAAGGTAGATGTCGTATTTGAGTAATGCTAAAAAGGTTTACACATGTTTTTTGCCATTGTAATGCAATGTTCTTGTGCAAATACTACTTCATTAGTTTGGTGTTTTGAAAAGTATGTAAAGTGGTGCTTTCTAGAGCCGGTGGCATTGCAAAGGCATAGCATGCAAGCATTCCTGTCCCTACAGCTACCTGCAGCGCACAGTTCGTGTTAACTAGGCTGAAGCTCCGTATACAAAGCTAACGGAAAATAAAATGCTACTTCAAAATAAAATTCTTGGTTTGTTTTTTATTTGGATGGTGATTGAACATTATCTGGCATTACAGTCAGCAGTAAATGGCTGCTGTTACTCTTACTTGTTTCCACAGATCTGTCCAAGCTAAAACTGATCAAACTGCAGATAAAGATGAAGATGGGGAAGCGTTGTTTCATGTTACCGCAGAGCAGTGGTGGGGGAGGGAGGTTTTAATAAAATTTTCATGTTTATTAACAATACTAGGCAGTGTAATACTTGGTTGAATCAGGTCCTGAAGAGCGCTAGGATGAAGATCTGGAACATCTGCAGCAGCGGAGGAAACACTAGGTCTCTCCTACATGTGGATGATTTTTCCAGGTAAGCAGGAAAAGTTGACTGCTGTAAAGGTAAAGGACTGTGTTGTTTGTAGAGCACCTCACACAGTGGATTCCTGGTCTGGATTAAGGTCTTGAGAGGTATTATCAATCATTCTGCCTCAAGTAAGTGGGAGGATTTGAGGTTTGCACTCTTACTCTTTCTGTTGTCTCATTTTAAAAAAAAAAAAGCCAACAAAACAAATCTCAAAACAAACAATCCAACCCCCAAAAGCTTCCAAACTGGTGCTCTGTGAATGGTATTATTTGCAGTGACATGCCCTCTGTTTCGGCATGATGCTCCCCTCAGAGCTGCCACCTCATTGTCTACTACTGTAAATTACAATGTGACATGACTGGAACAGGAAACTCATCTTGCATCAAACTTTCCTACAAACTGCTACAGCAGAGACTGTATAATGTTTCTTATATCAAACTCTCTAAACATCCAGCTGCTCATGTAGCGGGGAGTTTCTTTCTAACTTCATAAACATTTATCAGAATAGTTTGTCTCAAGTAAAACAGTAAAGCACTATTTGTACTTGAGTGAAGGAAAAAAAAAAAAGAAAAAAAAAAAAAAGGAAAAGAAAAAAAGCAAAGGGCAGTTGGTGAAGGCAAGTTCTGCGGGGTTTCCCTGTTGCCTTTTCACTAATATCGCAGAATAACAGACACGGGTATCTGTTGACTTTGCATGTGCCTGTTCCTATTTATGTATGTCAGCGTACTGATGTGCGAGATGAAATTCATTCTTTTGGGGAAAGCTTTAGGGTGAACACCCACAGAAACCCTCTTAGGAGGCAGAGGAAGACAAGGGTAGAGTTACCATTAAGTTGGATAGTTATAAGGTTTTGTGTGTTCCAGGTGATGCTGGAGGCCTTTCTGTGTCTGAGAGCGCCTTGAGCTGCTGTATTGCGGTAAGTAGCAAGCAGATACTTCTAATGCAACATCTTCACACCAATTATGGTTTGAAAACCTTTGTGATATTCTCCTCCTTTTCCCCTCTCCAGCTGCTTGTCTCCCAAACCAAAGTTGCTCTTCCAGTTGATCCGCAGGTCCAGGAAGAAACGCTCCATGGCTTTTCCCAGGGCAAAGATGTATGGTCTGTCCTCCGTGGTTAGCTCTCCCATAAAGCTTGTGTGGTCACGATCATTAGAGATGCTTTTCAGAGAATTATTATTAAAAGCCGGGAACAATGGGGTTTTATTTTACACGATAGATCTTTTGAATCTTTCTGGATAAGCAGCTAGACTGATCATTGTTTAATAGCTGTGTGCGTGGGAGAGAAGTTTCTCTAGTATCTGTGCTGTCAGTTTGACCTAGGTGGTGTGGGTGATGAGTCCCTCTGGGAGAGCAGCCAAATTGCAACAGCTTGGGTGGCTCTGGAGCATGGCTTCTCCACTGCTTTGGGGCTGCTTTACCATGACTAGTTTTCCCTCAGTGTAGGTTTTGGGGTTTTTTTTTTAGTAATTACTACAGAGTGGTGAAATATATCTGTATTTGTGCATATGACAGCTTGTGCACGTATTTGTGAACTGCAATAATTACTGCAGCTATGTGACATGATGGTGCCTTTCTCTGATCAGATTTATATTTTATGTATATATTTATAAATGTTTGGTTTTTTTTTTTTAACTTAAAACTCTCTTCCAAATAGCAGTTAACTATAGGAGCAATACTACTATGATTCTTTCACGGTTCTAGTGAACTCTGCATGAAAATTTCTAAACTAATGGTTATTGGAAGCTGATGGAGGAAGGGTCATTTCAAAATT